AACGCGAAGTTTCCACCACCGACCTACTCAAAACTAATTAATCGATTTTGAGGAGCGCTTTTCATCGGGCATATCATACGCGAAGCTGGGGCATCGCATCGAGGAGACTCGATACCATGATTGAGGTAATAGTTGGAGAGGTTACTGCTATTTTAAGCAGCTAGAGGAGATTGGCCATCATTCCGAGCAGCCACAATTATATTATGGAAAAATATCAACAAACTAATGATCTCACGTTCTTTCCCCAAATACTGATCGGCAGGGTTTTTACGTAAAAAACCTATATGATGTCGAAAAACCGACAAAATCTCAACTTGCTGACCAGATGGTGTGCAAATACTTTCACCCATAGTAATAATAATAATAATAATAATAATAATTAACGTCTTTTATTTGTAATATTCTTACAGGAGGCGAGATTTAGATTATATATCTATTCTACCATCTAACCCCCTCAACAATACGAGATGTAAAAAAAAAGAATTTGTTGAAAATTAATAGGCACCTGTATCCAATAACGACAGAATATAGTCCAAGTAAATACATAAGGAAAATATGAGGACACTTATGGGTTACAACCGATTTCGCTGCTGATCAAGACGAACTTCTTTCACTTTTTTCTTGAATTTGGATAATGGATTGGTTTCTTTTAAACTGCGGTCTAAAGAATTATATGATTTGATTGCATTGTAAATGTATGTTCTGAAATAGAGATGTGCTGTGGCGTGGAATTGAAAAAGTCTCTCTATATCTAATATTAATACGATGCATATTCCCTCTACCTATGAATTTGTTTACTAAATATGACGGTGTTTTTGAATAAAGAACCTTATGAGTCAGATTTAGGAGCTGGTACTTATACATTTTATCAATTTTCATCCATTTGAGTTCATTAATGGCATTCGATATATGATCATATTTTCTGAGATCATTAACAAGTCTGCAACATGTATTCAAAATACTTTGAATACGATTTCTTGTTATAATATCTAAATAGGGATAGTAAACCACTTAGCAATACGATATCTTTGAAAACACGAAATATTCACACAATTGCTTTCTCGCAGCTTTATGTAATATAGCCTTATTTGCAAATAAAACTCTGAGAATAGCGTAGCACTGAGTAATTAGATAGTTCACGTGTGCAACAAATTTTAAGTCATCATCCATTATAATACCTAGGTTTTTTTTACCTCTGTTTCTAAATCTGAGATATATAATGAAAATAATAGCGGTCCTAAGCCTGATCCCTGTGGTACACCAGAACAAATTTTTTGTTCCGTAGAGTACTGTTGATTTAGACGAACTTTTTGATACCGATTTTCAAGGTAGGTTTGAATAAACGAAAGAGGTTTTTCAGAAAATCCATAATAACTGCATTTAGATACAAGAAGTGAGTGATTAATGGTGTCAAATGCTTTAGTAAAGTCAAGAAGTATGAGAGCTACCGCTTTTTGGTTATCAAGTGCCATTGTTATATTGTCTGTTAAATCACAGAGTGCCGGAGCTGTATGATGACCTTGTCGAAATCCAGATTGTTTAGATGGAATAATTTTGTTAGAATATTTGCTACATAAAAAAATTATTACTGAACATGCTGCCCATGAAGTATATCTATTAGCTATCCACACGCGCTGTTTTTGTTGTTTTTTTTTCTGAAGAAAGGTTACGTTCAAAGTTATTAATTACGATTTTCCCCATGAGATCTTCAACGGGACATCTATTATCATATTGGCCACCACGTAAGCCGTCTCAGTGTCTTGCATGTTGGTATTTGTGCTTCCGTGATAGTCGATTCCACGGTTCACTGGGACTGCTAAGCCGCTACCTTAACATTTAACTGCTAACGTGCGACAGTCGCACACAACCGCTAACGTGCGGTCTAAAATACCGCTACCGGTTTTTGTTACTTTTTATGAATGGCACAACGTTTTTATTAAAAATATTTCTTTGTGAATGCTCAAAAAACAATGTAATTAAGTTTCAGTTAGACTAAGCGATAACATAAACATAAAAAAACAACACAAAAATGTTTTTCTGGCAATTTCCAAGTTACTTCCTATCTAGCACGCATTCAATGCACATCTTCTTGGAAGATTGCAAACATATGGGTTTCTTGCATGATGCACATCCGTATTGAGTTTTCCTTTTCAACTTTGGTGGACATCTGTAACATGTTGCTCTTTGTTCCAAGCGATATTCTAGGATTTCACTGCTATGAGCAGAATGGTCAGTGCTCCCACATAAGTTTTCAATTGTCACTCGCAATTCTCTGGGAAGTTCTGAGTTTGCCATTCTAACTCTCCATTGTGGCAAAACCAGACTTCTTGCTAACTTTTTTAGAAAATCTGCCCTTTCCAGTTTTGGAGTATCTTTGTAGCTTGAGTACAAAACATAAGCATTTATTGTACTTACGTCAAGATCTTTGTGTCCTACGCCTTGGACTATAGTTTGTTGCAGACTTTTTTTCCAAACTATCCACGCCACCTTTTGTCGAATTGTAATATGCTATTATTTCCGGCTACCAGTTTCTTGATCAGCTGATTCACAATGATGCATAGATGAAATCAGAAAAACTGATTTTGAAGATTTTGGTACAAAAGAAAGTAAAGTAAAAACTGACTGAAACGCTCCGTCATGCTTTCTCCAAAAGGTATCTAGCTTCCTAGTATCCAGATGTGCTGCGTTGCCAAATTGTAACACATAATATATTAATGGGGTATCGAAGACCGCACGTTAGCGGCTAAAGGTTAACTGTTAAGCTCGGATAACATTATAATCCGGGAAAGCAGCAGCGGTGGCCGCAGTAGTAGACTGTTCGATCTCCTGATCAGTCGCCGTGCGCTGTGCGGGTTCGAGTCCCGTCCCAGGAGAAATTTTTGTCTTGGCTATGGGTGTTGTGATTGTCCGTAGGTGGTAGACGGTCTCTGACTGTCGAACGTGGAGGTATCACCCGGCAGATCTCGTAGGCGGAGCCAGAATGTGTGCATGTTGCATGCACACGTGTTCCCTCGCCAGAGTCCGTGTGGCGTTCCCCCTTTTCCCTGTATCCCCCTATAGCCCCACGGTACCTAATGGGTGTTTAGGCCTTAGGCCTTCGTGGTAGTTGGAATATAAAAAAAAAGCGAGACGATCTCCCAGATTACGCAACAGAGCCACATCTAAACATTCATCCATAAGAATTTGATGAAATTCCCGTTTTTGGGATGGATTTTGAGTGAGTTTTTGACTTGTGCATCCGGTAGATGATTATTCTTTTACAAGCTCTAAACGCAAAGCGGCGAACGGAAGAGGTGGGCTGCCAAAACAGTTATGAGCTCTCTAACTACTCTAAGAAAATCCTCTACTGAGGAAGGGAAGCTCCGATGCCGCGGTTATTGAAGCTGTTATAATTATTGCCGCCACTCAGTTCGTTGCATCTTTAGAGTATGAAAATACATCACCAAGTTCTATAAAGAAGAATGCTTATTTTAGAATAAGCAGCCATCCGTATCAGTGCTAACAAGGGAACAAGGGATTAAAGACAGAAGTTAAGATAAGAACACTTGGGAAACGTTTGTGGTGTGCACAAGACTTGTACGCTGAATAAGGTATGTTTGCTTTCAGTATCTGTGACCATATCGTTTACAATATCGTTTCATGCTTTTACTTCACTCGTCGGGAAAACATTAGAAAATAAGATTTTATTTTTAATAGATGTTATAGGACATGAACATCACGAAAAATCAAGTATTTTCCATCGGCCTGTCTGTCTGATCGCTAATCCTTAGTCTGTCTTGGGAAATACCGCTCGAACTTCGATGAAATTTCCGCACAAGGTTCCTACTATTCCAAGCATAAATAAGTTATACTCTTCAGAAATCGCTCCAATGACGGTAGAGTTACCGGTAAAAAAACAAACCAGAGCGATGTTTAAAACTTCGTTTTTTGCTTTTCCAGGGGCTCCTGATAATTTTCAGAAAAAAATTGTGGCTGTATAAAATTGGGATCGGGGTTATATGAGGTGGTGGTGGCAATGTCTCAATTTTTGACGTTGATATATTTATACGCCCCGGTAAGTCTACGTAACTATTAGGTATGATTCGTACATCTTATATTTCCCCGTACATTTTCCCTTGAAATGATGGAGATTTACTTTCAACGCACGTGTCTGTGAATGTACCTGTGTCGCGATCGGGCTGATGGGAGTCTGTGTTTCGCAATAAGTAGTGGTTGCTGTACTGCCGTAGATAACGAGACGTGAAGCTAGTTCATGAGCGCGTGCAGGAATTCTTCTAATAAGGGAGGTGGTATTCATTGGTGAGAGATAACTTTTTGTGAAAGTGTGCCACCTCCAAAGCTTTCTGAAGGGGAACGTAGCAAATTTTCTGAATGGGGGAGTAATCCTGAGAATCCTAAAAAGTATGCACAGCCTGTTTGACTGACTTCATTCATTGAATTCTTTGTTATACATGTTAGTAGCCAGATATTTTCTTAGAAGGTCTAACTTATACTGAACATAATCTTTTATGAACTGACAATAGCGTTACTTGGGAAGTGCAGAATCAACCTCGACAACAACGGAAAGCATAAAATCCAAAAGAGGTCTACTGAAATATTTAATATTGTAGTGTTCCAGAGACGTAATGAAAACAGATTCTGTTCAGCTCGTGCTTAGTTTATGCAACTTTTGCATAGTACGTTGAAGCTGGTAGCATGGTGACTACTTAGTACCACCCTGATTGATGAAACGTCTATGTGGACTTGTATTTTATACGAGTATGCAGTGCGTATAGCCTATTACCTAACAGATAGTGACAGTATGGTGTTATCTAATAAGAGAAAACTTTTTGAAACTCCTAATCAACGATCTCAGAATAGGTAGAAGGAACCAGTCAAGAATTTGTGTGTCTCCTAGTTCTCATAATCTGTAGTGACGATCAAGCTGCTTTTAACATAAGCAAATTTTTTGACACTTTTGTCATTAAATTCCTATTTTTAGTGTCATTTTTCAAAAATACGAGTGTTTGCAGAAAATTGTGGTGCTAGACGACTTCAGGACATGATACTTATTGAAAAGAGCAGCACAAGCCAAATGAAGGTAGATGCTCCCACTGGTTAGTATGATTATTCTGTTGGTGCGATGCTGTCGCTTTGGTAGATATTGGTAAATAAATGAGTAAAAAGTATTTACTAAAGCTACGTAATTTTGACGACATAAAATGCAATGTATGCAGTCTATTCTAATTCGCTACTCCTTAGCATAAACAGTCTGAGACTTTAAAATAGTCGCGGTATTCTTATTCTAGTTCTGCCTTAGCAGTTGTTTGAGTAAAAATCTTCAATCGGGAAGTTGCTTTCATGACGAATTGTGTCTTTTGTATATGAGGGTTCAGTTGAATCAAAAAGTAAACATTTCAACTTTTATTTTCAAGTTTCCTTGGAATATTTGCCCCAATGCCTTATTGAGAAGCATCAATTATATCCCATGGAAGTAATGAAAACCAAAAGAAACACCAATTTGACACCCGGTAACTAGATATATCAAACGATTTGTAAAGTGAGACATTCCTCCTTCATGAAAGCCATTATTGCTTCGCATATATCTTTCTACGCCACGCACCTCAGGTTATAAAAGGTCTCCCTTCTCAAACAATACATATAATGTACTTAGTACTAGCAAAAGATAGATCGTTTATAAATAATTATTTTTAAAATTAAGACTCATGATCGAAAAAATGTTTTCTTGTAGAAAGACTCACGTCAACCCCAAAGCAACGATCCTCATCATCGTGTACAAGCATATCTACACCACCGTGTGCATCCAACCAGGCGACGCTATCGCAGTGCGCCTGCGCAGAAAAACAATTTGGTATAACGATTCCGTTTCATCTGACCCAGATCCAGTACAGAAGTGTAAAATGTTATCCATGAAAATTAACTAGTTTTCGCCTACACCTGAAAATGTGTGAGAGGGATTTATAAGGAAAGCTTGATTTTTCAATGCTGTTTTCATGAAAGGTGTTCCTACGCTGTACACATTTAAAAAAGATTCACACAAAAAATTGCCCCGATAAAAATTTTCCATAAACCGCAAGGATAACTAAAAGGAAGAGACAGAAAATTCGCAGGGAGATATGTCCCTTCTTTTATGGGGCGATTACTCACTGGGGTCGGTAATAGGGTACATTTTTTCCAAATCTTATTACTCCTTCAATGCCATGACACTCAATTAAGTAGGGTTAACCACCGTGGCCGACGTTGACAAATTGTTTTGAGGAACTTACTGGGCATTTTGTATATCTACCCGGAATATATACTGAAGTTTTAACATATATATATATATATATATATATATATATATATATATATATATATATATATATATATGACATGTGACATTAGTACGAGAGGCAATGTAAATGTATGCTATAAAAAAAAATGAGATTCTATTTTGGTTCGTCTACACACCATAGTGAAAATTGGAGGCTTATTTCCAGGATCGAATAGAAGGAATACAAGCGAAACTACATAATTATGAAAACTTGTGTTAAATCACCTTAGCCAAATTTTCAGAACAATAGGGGTCTCTAACTTCAAAAACGTGCTTTTTAAAATAATTTTCAAGTACGCAATTTTGCGTGAAAAATCTTGTAAGAGATACCGAGCTACATTGTTATATTCTACATAATCATTTTATACAGACTCATAGAACGTATAGATTCCAGGAAAAAACATCCTCTTTCGATCTTTTGGTTAGGCAACGAAAATTCTGCAAACCTAAAAATTAACTATATATCAGTGCTTTTTGCGTTCTTGTCAGATACATTAACAATATCATGATTTTTTCTGGAACATCGCGACAAATAGGAAGAACCGCAATTTGACAGATGTCTCAGATTTTTTACATTATAAGTAAAGGAATTGTAGGATGACTAACCTTAAAACTTGACGAACCCATGTACGTTTGTACATTCATTCTCGTTCCATATAATTTTGATCTAGCTTCCATATAATACCGAAAATACGAAATACCATATTTTCGCTGATTTTCTTCAATTTTTGACGGTTCTACTCAGGAAAAAAACTAGTCTAAGACAACAATTCATTGTAAATACGTGCTATTTTACATTCGTTTCAGTTTCGGTGCTAAAATAATCTTTTCTTGTCCGAAAAATCGACAAATTCGGAAAAATAGCATTTTCGCTGGTTTTTTGGCGATATTCCGGCCAAGAAATCATCATTCTGACAACGGAACTAAAATAGACTTATATACCGTGGGTTACTGTTTAAGCCAAGTATTCCTTACCTGGTCAAAAACGTCAAAAACTGAAGAAAATCAGCGAACATTCTGTTTCTTCCTTTTTCGAATGTTTTCTCCTTGTACAATAAATAACTATTATTTTTTGAGCAGAATTGCTCTCGATCTGAAGGTCTGACCAAGGTGATTTGAGCAATGGGAGCAATTTTCATAGGTCATTTCGCGTATAGCCGCTGATGGAAATGCATCACTTTGTCAGATTTCTCACAATGTTGTAATTCGGCCACTCGGGAAAAGTACCAAGGTTGATCTCCATGCTCCACCCCTCACCCTCTTACAATAAAGCTAAATTTGATTCATTTTATTTTTCAGCTGAAACCAATTTAGCATTAGTATCATCGTTTAGAGGGCGCTTCAGTATTTCAATAGCCTCGCAGTGAAAAAATGTCACTACTGAAACACACTCCACAGACATCACCTGTTGCTTACTTCAGCAGTCGGCAATAGGTGTCAAGATATCCTAATTGTTTCGTCTCTAGTACAGTGTGATTTGAATTTGAATAATATTGCAACATACTGTGATTACTACATCTGCAAGATCAAAAATATAAGTTTATTCGCTTTGAAGGAATATTTTCGTGCATACGACATAAATCCGTTTGTTTCAAAAATGATATCAGTTCGTAGATGATTTAGGCACATACAATTGATCCATAGATATCCTTTTCATGTCCTATACCGTAGTTACGGTCCATCTGGCAACGTTGTCCCTATCCCTAACCATCAAATTTCAACCCATACAAAAAATTTCTGAAAATGATCAGTGCCCACTGAAACGACAAAAAACGAAGCTTGAGCGGTTTTTTTTTTTCGTTGATGGACTTTGTCTCCGCTGCTACTGGACCTATTTTCAAAAACTACAAAGCTTTTTCGCCTTTGGCCTAGTAGAAACCTTGTGTAGAAATTTTATCAAAATCCGAGGATTAGCGGACTTAGTTTCTCGTGATTTACCAGCTCGTCCAGTGGCGTACAGCGTAAAAGGGAAATTTTAACGCCTAACTCTCACTGATAGTTTTTAATCATCCTCAATAAAAGTGTCGGTTAGAATTTGTCTATGAGGACATGCAAGAGCAGGGGCCACTTTGACATCAAAATACGTAAAATAGTGCGGTTTTAAGGCTCACATTTGTATGCGATATGAAATTGTGCGATATATATTCTAAAGTGTGCCTGTTATTGCACACATTTCAAGTAGGAATATCCTAGCGTGATCCTAGGTGATAAATTTGTATTTACCTCGGATCCTCGGCTATATATATTCCAAATACGATGCCAGCAGTTTTACATTTCTATGGTTCACAGAACAAATAAGCTTGTATTCGAGCTATTTGATATAGGTAGCAAAATGGAAGCTGAATGTAGAATATAATAACACGAAAATAAATGATCCGGTATATTTACCCTCACAAATACCTCTTGCAGGTGATCTGTTATCTTGAAAGAAATGAATTGTTTGACGGATAAAGGTCTGCGCATAACGGGCAATGTGCCCCAGAATACCATGTCAACCTCTTGTATGCGAACTAAAAACTAATGCCATAATGTCTCGTTCAGACATAGGGCGCCAACTTGGTACGATATGCTATGTTAAAGCGAAAAAGAACGGAGCATTGACTCATGGTGTCGCACTTGGCCAAGTTGTAGGATATGATAACAGGGTGCTTTTAATAAATTCTGCCATGTGCCGTTTCAGTCACTTGATGTCAGTGGTTTTATTTATTACACAAACCGCAGTCAAAGGCAAAAAGGAATTAGGTCCCAGTGACAAAATCAGATTGAGATAGAGAGGTGTGTAATTTACTGTAATATACAGGATGTTCCTTAGTGATGGGTTTGATTTCTCAGATTTTGCTATGAAGAAAAGTTTCGTTTTTAAGAAAGTACTCCGGATATTATTTCTAGATTTTAAAATATCACAAGAGTGTAAGTTAGTGAATTGATATCTTTTATCAATGAAAAATGCAAGGCAACATCATAGTAAGTAATTTTTGTGCCATTCAAGTATAATGAATATAACATATATTTAAAATGAAAGATACATGTATGGCAATTTAAGAAAATTATGTGTTGAAAATGATAACTTGCAAATAGTCATTCTTTTGTTAAAATGCTCGATGACACGGTCACATAATTGCGGCTCTATCTCAATGATTACACGGGTTATTTCCTCTTTCAATGCTTCAATCGTCTGGGGATGGTTCCTGTAGACTTTACTTTTAACATAGCTCCAAAGGAAGAAGTATAAAGGAGTCAAATCGCACGAACCAGCTGGCCAGTTGACAGATGCGTTTCTGGAGATAACGTTACCATTAAATTTCGGCTCCAATAACTGGATTGTGTCTCGTGATGTGTGACACGTTGCTCCATCCTGTTGCAATCAAATGTCTTGGACATCAATAGTGTTCAATTCAGAACCCAAAAAATCTTGTAACATTCGTCGGTATCGAAGACCATTAACAATAACACCATGTCCAGCGTCATCTTCCAAGAAGTAAGGACCAATCACCCCACCACACCAAAGACCACACTAAACAGTGACTTTTGGTGGGTGTAAGCCTTGTTCAACAACCACTGTTGAATTTTCCTCACATCAAATCCGACAATTCTGTTTGTTTACATACCCATTAAGTTGGAAATGTGCTTCGTCGCTAAAGATGATGGTTTTTGAAAATCCTTCTTCCGGTTACTCAATGAAATAACGAATTAACGACGTTTTGTTGGTCGATGGGCTTCAATTCTTGTGTCAATTGGATCCTAAATGCTTTTAACACCAAATCCTTGTGTAAAATATGCCAAACAGTGGTTTGTGGAATATGCATCTGTTGTGAATGACATTGAATCGACATTCTTGAGTCATCTTGAACACTCTCACGAACTGCAGCAATATTCTCTTGTAAGCGGCCTGGGCGTGGACGAAACGGTGTTTTTATGTCTAAAACTGAACCAGATTCTTCAAATTTCCTCACTATCCTCGACTCATTTGGACGATTATGCCGTTGACAAAATTAGCGTAATTTAAGAAAAACATTTTTAATTGAAGGTTCATTTTTAAAATAAAGTTGAATTATCTGCACACGTTGTTTTATGCTGTACGTATGGATTTTATAAATTCCCAACTATAGTAGTTTACAAATTTCAATAAACCATGACATTTCTACTTCCAAATGTAACCCAGACAACTTCACAAAAACTGCGCTCCTAGTGGAATACCATTGTATTATTGCACAGCAAATAGATTTCACAAATCTGTCTTGTGCGACAGTTAATTTCTAAAACAGCCCTCAACAAACATCCTAAAATGTTTGGTTTACATCAAGTTTTTGTTTCCCTGACACGTTGTAACCTTTATCTTCGGTGGTCATGGGCGGACATAGATGGGGGATGCTGTACCTTGGTGTAAAAATTACCTTAGGCCGAAATCTCGAGACGTCAGACGTACCCCAACCTTCGCTCTTCAATTTCCAAAATACATTTGCTCTCAGGAATGATGCCTGAGTGTTTTAGAACTGAGATACAGGCGTTATTAGAAGATTTCCTGATGAACTTTGTTGTCAGAAAAATGACGATTTTTTTCATAGATTTTGTGACTTACTATACTTTTCGTTGGATCGATTGAAGAAAAAAGAACACAAGGTCTAGACCTAGTAGAATATTTATTGAAATATTACAGTATTTTTCTAAACAAATGGTCGAAAAAGACCTGTTTAATGCCAATCTGAGTCACTCAAATTATATTCATCTTCGTGTTCTCCACTATCACCGTTCTCAACTTCTGTATTTTCAGCACTGTTAATATTATGCCCTCTTTGTATTTTCTTACCTTCTTTGGCTTTTAGAGAAAAATAAATAGCAGGTAAGCCTCAGGAATGCTAGAAAGACTGTTTACTTTTGATTTACATATGTCTAATAAACCATTTAATTTTCTAGCATCTACTAAAAGCAAGCTTGTGTACAGCAAAGATATGCTAAGTGACATATAAATCCGAACACCCAGTTTAAATGGTTTTATTTTAATAAAAGTTGGTGAATGTATTTATCTTACTGTAAATAACAAGTGAAAAAAATTTCAGCCTTAGCAGTTGGACATTCCGGTTTTTATACTGCTTTTTTTTAATTCACTAACGCTCTAAAAATGAATATTTCAGCCGCAGTAAAGAATCAACGTTGGCGGATTTTGGTTCTTGACATCCTTTACGATCGGTTACGATGCCTAGAGTACGGAGACCTGTACGATTTCGTCAACTTAGCGAGTTTGATAGGGGCCGTATAGTGGGACTTCGGGAAGCTGGACTTTGTTTTTGGGCAATTGCAGTTAGAGTGCAAAGAAGTGTAGACACTGTGGTTAGGTGTTGTCAGGCATGGCTTCGAGAAGGCCGTACGCAAAGAGCAAGGGGCACTGGACGCCGCTGTAGAACAACAGACCGTGAAGATCGCCGCCTAAGATTATTGGCCTTAAGGGACCGTTTCTCCACTACCAGGTCCATTGCAAATGAATGGTTTGCAGAACACGGAAGACCTATTGGCATGCGAAGTGTTTACCGACGAATGAGAAGTTTTGGCTTGTTTGCATACCGGCCACACTGGGTCCTCTCTTTAACTCGAGAACACCGACGTAATCGCCTTGAGTGGTGCAGACAACGGTCACTCTGGGATCAGGAATGGAACAGTATTGTCTTTAGTGACGAGTCTCGATTTTGTTTAGGCATGCCCGATGGTCGTGCCAGGGTTAGAAGGCGACGTAGTGAAAGGAGGAATCCACAGTTTTTTGTTGAAAGACATGTTCATCACACTGTTGGAGTTATGGTTTGGGGTGCTATAGCTTATGGTTCCAGGCCACCAAGATCTCCCGACTTATCCCCAATTGAGCACGTGTGCGATATGATGGGTAGGAGATTGCTCAATTTGCAACGTCCTCCTCAGACTCTAGAAGCACTTCGAGAGGAGTTGGTGGTTGCCTGGAATGAGATACCACAGGAGGACATTGACCACCTGATCAAAAGCATACCTAGACGCGTTGGAGAATGCGTAGCACATCAGGATGCATAAACACATTATAATAATAATATAATAATAATAATAATAATAAATGGGCTTTATTTCGTACCTAAGTAAAAGTACGAAAAAGGCGAAGTGTCGCTAAGATTAGCGTTTTTCAACTTAACCGTAACCTTAACAAAAAAAAATATATATATATATAATAAAACATTCTACCAACAAAAATGTATCCATAATTCTCAATAATTACTAAATAATTAACAACACAGAACAATTACAAGAATAGTCCATATTTCTAGCATTTTGTACTCATCATCAGACCTCGACTTGTAGTTTTAGTTTGAGCCTCTCTTTAAAATTAAATAACGTATAGTTTTGGAATGAAACAGGCAGCTCATTATATAATTTAATAGCATTGTAGCTGAATGATGTTTTGTAGACAGCCTTAGAATGTAAGGGTATCACTAACATATTCCTATTCCTTGTATTCAGTTGATTTATGTCACTACATCGTG